TGATGCAATTATTTGACACAATTAATTGAGTCACTATTAAAACATATAAATAATTAAGTCATGACACAATTATTTTTAAAATTTTTGAGAATTGAGTCAACAGCAAAATAATTTACGCCACATGTATAGCTTGGAATCAACTTTTGCCTCATTTGTCATATATCAAGTAACAGTTGAAAAACAAGTGTACCAATCTTAGTTATAACTTGAAGGCCAACCTGTATATAGTGGCTGCAACACCTTCATGTAATTAGATAAACAAATTCTTTAAGTAGCTAGATACTATTCAAGGCTTAATATAGGTTTTAAATTTTTTTTTTCTATATTCTTGAGTGGTGCTAAGGAGCTCAGGTGGATGGATTGCAATTGTGGGCCTTACATTAAATTCTTTCTAACAAAGAAAGATATATACTGTGCCATAAGGTTATAAATCTTATATTGCAAGTCTAAAATTTATAATAAAAATAATGCATTGGGGACTACCTGTTTCTTCAAAAAAAAAAAATCTAAAATAATTAATATCATATAGTAATAACTTAATAAATCTATTTTCTTATAATAAGATAGTTAGTAAATAATCAAATTATATTAGCAATATGATGACCTTGATATTGTTAGTGTATAAAAAGATAATAAAGAAATAATAGAAAAAATATAATAAGTATAATTAATATATCAGATATAATATGTATTTCAGATATCAAATATATATCAGGAATAATATATACAGTATATTAAATAAGACCTGTGGATCTATAGTGTAGTGGTTAACACTCCACAGGTCAAATTACAAGATACCAGTTCAATTCCAAGTGAAGGTGATTAAATAGAACATATATGGTATCTGGCACCATAACCTGTTATGTGCTGTTTCTCATGCGAAGCCATTTTACACGCTGATCCAGTGGGCGTTGAGATTGTGATTTCCAGAAAAGGCGTTGTGGTGCAACAATCGTCTGGTTGGCATTATGATGATCATTGTCAAGTTTGATATAATTCCCAGTTCTATAACAGATCATTTCCCCTTCCTATAGTCTATGAGACTATAAAAGAAATTATGGAGGGCTACAATATGGAACTATTTAGCAATACTTCTAACACGACTCCCCTTTTGCAAGAGTTACGACTCGCCAGCAATACCTACCATTTTTACCTGTAGTGAAGGTACTCAGTTGGTAACGTTTGCCAGAATGGAAAATCCCTCTTAAGACTTAACTTGACTTTGGAGGAGTTGCGCTCTCTTAAATAAGCAGCTTATGCTTGAAGTCTGGCATTATCTAAAGGGGTTGGATTATCAACCCCAGTTTAAAAGTATTGAAACAATTCTGGCCAAAAGGTCCCATCTGCTTTTCAAATAATAATCCTCCACCAAGAAGAAAACCAGAAAAAACAGAGACACAGTATTCTGATGAATAATACATATGGTGCTAAAAGGCCATTGCTGAAGAGGTTTATAAATTTGAGGCTGGAAGATGCAAGAAAATAATTAGGTGGCAGACTATACCTGGATGATATACCTGTGAATAAATTCTAGCTTAGTGTTTAATATAGATCAAAGTTGTATATACTTTATATGTAATAACCGATCTACAAATAAATACAGACTAAGAGTGTTGTCTCACCTTAGCGTTAATAAAAAAAAAAAAAAACAATATATTAAATATAAAGTATATATTATAAAGAAGTATATAAATAACAGAAGTATAAATAAAAATGAGAATAATTCTTAACAAATACTGTACAACTTCTACTACCCTATCATATCCATTGTTGAATATTTATCTTTTGTACTATTTCTATATATTATACTTGTAAGATTAATACACAAGTTATATCATCATGATTCTTATAATTTATTGATTAATTCATATTATTGCCTGACAGCTTAGATCAAATTTATATGTCTTTCTTTAGTAGAAGACATAATCTATTGTTATATGGCATAAGGTTAACTTAAGTAATAAACTTGTCAAATTTTCACACCAATAATATTAAGAATTCAAGAATTATATACAAATTTAAACTTATTAATAAGTATTTTACAAAATAAAATTAATTTAACTTTAGTATAATATTATATTGTATATTGTATTATTGTTATTTAAAAATTAAATTAATAAATACTAAAGCTTGTAATTTAATTAAAACTAAAGAAAAAAAAGAATATATAAACCTATAGATATATAATATAATAATTAGTGCTTTACAAATTAAATTATAAAATACTACTGTAATTTAACTTTATATAAAGATAATTAAATAGAATTAATATAGTATTTGATACTATAACTTGTAATACATTATTTTTTAGAAGAAACCAGTTTATATGCTAATTAAATAGTATTAAAATTGTAATCTTTACTAAAGATATAATAATATAATAATTATTTAGTCAGTTTTACAATAATTATTTATAAATAAAAATGTAATATATTTGAATATATAGACTTGATTGTATTCTATTTTAATTAATTTTAATCAATAATTTTTTTTATAATCAGTTTTAATCTAATTAAATAAAGAAGACTTGGGAATATTTCAAGTTAGTTTTATTAATACATTTTATTTAAATACTAGCTAAATTAATAGATTAGATAGTTTAAAACTAGTAGTAAAATTTTTATATTTTAGATAAATTCTTCTAAAAAATATGAATTTATTTTAAGAATATATATCATATTACTAAATTAATATAGATAAGTGAACAGGTTAACTTAAATAGATCTTGTAGTCATATATTTGGATATAAATCACTTAATAAAAGTTATATACTGTATGTATCTTCTATTTAAAAAAAAAAGAATATATATTTGTATTAAATAAATTATATATAAAAAAATTTTTATATAGAAAATTATTTTTTCATTTGTTTTTTTTTTTTCAAATTGTTATCTAATATTATTATTAATTATCAAATTTTTTAGAGCAAATTATATATTATTAAAATTTATAAATCCTTGATATAATTTTTTGATAAAATTAATTGGGTTATTATTAAAATATATAAATAATTAAAACATAATACAATTATTTTTGAGAATTTTGAAAACTAAATCAATAGCAAATAATTTATGTCATATATATTGAGCAGACTATTGTTAAAATTTGAAGAATCAATTTGAACTTTGAACTTTTGCTACTTTAAATTGGGTCTTCGATTTATATTCCTTTTCTAAAACCTTATTCTATTAAAAAAAGTTTTTTGAAAAAAATAAACTTCTTAAAAAAGCAATTTTCTATAAATAAAAATGCAATGAAAAAGAGTTTTTTTTTTTTATTAAATTTTTTTTTTTATATTGTATTACTTTTTAAATTTATTTTAAATATATTTTTAAATATTTTTATAACAATTAAAATTATTTAAAATTTGGTATAATATATTTTTGTAATTAATAAACATTGTATTTAAAATTTGGTATAATATATTTTTGTAATTAATAAACATTGTATTTAAAATAAGAAAAAAAATTAATTGACAAATTTATTATTATTATATAAAAAAAATATTTGTAATATTTTGATAAATCTCTGTTATTTAAATATAAAGAAATTTTTATGTATAATAAATTTTAAAATTTGTTTTTTGATTGATGTTAGATTTAAATAAATTATTCGAAAATTTTAAATATGGATTATTTGTATATACAGTATATATATTTTAGATTTTATTGTAAAATTACAATTAATTGAAATCATTGAAATGGATTGTAAAAATAAAATAATTAGAAAACAAACGTTATGAAATGTTTTTCTTTTAAGATTAACTATTTTATTTTTTTCTAAAAAAAAAAAAAAATTGTTTTACAAAATTTAAATAATAAATTTTTATTTATGTATTAATGACTGTATTTATATTAAACATTTTATGAAAATCATATTTATAATATTTGTTTTTTTAAAGAATTTTTATTAAGAAATTCTTATTAAGTTTGAAAATCCTATTACAGTATTGCGATGTTTAAAAAACGGAGATACTTGTCGGCAAATGATGACTACCTGAAATTTATTAGCGCAACTCCGTTGTTTTCTTGAATCGACGTTCGTGTAATTCAAGATAACTTTTCGATCTGTATTTCATAGTGTGATAAAACTTGGGTAAGCCCAATTCTTTCGTCTACTAATAGTCCAAGTCAAAAGTAAAACTAATTTTTTTAGTTTACTCAACCTGCCACAATGATGTCAACACAACATTCACTAAGAAAGAGGAAGAACAATAAAAATCATTGTTCACATACTGTCTACATCATTCTCAAGCGCCCGATCTTTTTTACTTTGGAGTCTGTTTAATCACCATTCTTTACCCTAGCCATAAGTAATTACAGTAATAGTGATTTTTTTCACAGTTACTCTAAATAAGTATAATTTGTAGAACATTCTAGTTTATGGCGTCATTATTACATACACGATTTTTTAATGTGCATCCTGATAATTGTAGGAAGTTCCAGAATTTCACTTGGAAATGATATAAATAAACTTTGAGCGAACTCCAGCTTGCAAATTGCATCAAACAAAAATTTTCGATAACATAATTGAATTTCTTACACAAATCACAATATAAAAATGTCGATTGTTGGTCATGGTTGGGACAATGAATTTGACCGATTTGAATCTTCGGTCGCTAATTTGTTCGATGCGCCCAGACGTTACGGCCATTCGAATAGAAACAATCAACTTTCAAAGTCTTGGGCACCTCCTCTCGATGTTCATGAGACAGAAAAAGAATACATTGTCAATGCTGAATTACCTGTAGGTATTTTTTATAGTGTGTTGAAATATTTTAATAATTTATTAAAATATCTTGTATTTTGATCAGGGCGTTAACAAGGACAAAATCAATGTTGACATTCGCGAGAACGCTCTCATAATTTCGGGTGAAACAAAACATAATCAGGAGTATAAAGAAGGAAGTACACATATTCAAGAACGTCGATATGGCTCGTTTCATCGTGCCATCACACTCCCTTCAAACGTCAAGTCCAATGAGATTACAGCCAAATTTGAACAAGGCATTCTTGAGGTGAAGATTCCTAAAGGTGAAGCGCCTGGTAGTAGGAAGGTCGCTATTCAATAATTGATGAATTGGGCAGCATGTAGTTTTTCTTTTGTATGTTAGTTCATTATCTGTACGTGCACACTACGTAAAAAAACCAAAATGAATAAATTCATGTAAAATTTCTTATTCACATCCATGGAAAGAAAATTTACGCCTCTGAGTTAAGTATACCCAATGAAATAAATACTGAAAAGTACTGGTTATGGTTTATCCAAAACCTAAATATTATCCTACAATAGTAAGAGAGACTTATGACGATTCTTTAAGTACCAAGTGCTGGTGGGTTAAATTTCTGATGAATCTCACGTTGATCAATTAATAATAATTAAATTATATACTGTATTTCGTATCTCTTGGAAGCAACACATTTTTTTGCGAGAAAATTATTTTTTTGAATGGCTGAGTCTAAATCGGTCATTTTTATTCTCGGAGCAATTGGTTCAATGGTGACCTTACATTTATTTTGTATATTTGGGCGGGATTACACCTTCGTCCGTTATTTTCTTTTCCATTATCTCAACAACGTTCAATGATTTGGCTACTATCGATTTTATTAATGGATACGGTATTTCCCATCATTTATCTTTGTCCAGTTCTTAAAAATACCTATTAATAGTTATCAGGAAACATTGCACGAAATATATAAAACAAAACAAAGAAAGCGCTGAATTAGCAGTTGTCAATGGAGACTAACAGTGTTCTTAATAACACAACCTTCCAGAGGTCAAGAATCTTTTGTCCTTTTCTTCTATGTCTCACGTCAAAACTTTGAATTCGATCACGAAAATCCTTATAAAATAAAATAAATATACTTTAACGGTGTAACGGTGAGTCTGTCGCTAACTCTAGCAGAGATTCGCGTAACCGTTATCAGGTAAGTAGACGAAAGGGTGATTTGAGGCGTGTTTTATTTGACCGAGTCTTTATTTAATTTCCTTCTCTAATTATTCTCTACTTTTCTGTCTCTCCTTCTCTATACTTTTACATGTTATTTATACTTTACATTTGGCTATGGCGGCTTAGACATAAGATAATAATCGATGATACAATGACATGGCTAAAGCTAGATACATAATTCTTCTTCACAATTCTTCTTCACAATTCTTCCTGTCCCTTCTTTATTACCTAATTATCACCCATTATCGCGACGATTGATCACGTGACTGACGTCGAGTTCCATTACAATACTGTTATAATTAATATAACGACCTTAGCACCCGATGCCTGTGCCCACTTCAAAGATTCTTGCGTCACATGACCAAACCGAAGAAGCAAAAGAAATTTACCTTTGTTCTACTTGTCAATGTTTTTTTATTATTCTTATTTCTTTGTTTATTAGGATTTGTATGAATGTTTTTTTTTTTATATAATAGAATGGCATTAGATGTGGAATTTTATTGTATATTTTTAGAATTACAAATTTCGTTACATCAAATATCCTTTATAATGTTATGACTATAGCTAAATATTAATCTATCTACTTTTATACCTAGTGACATACTGTTCACCCTTGAGGTGTGTCACATTGTTTTTAGGAGGACTATCTAGGAGGTGAAAATCCTACCACTAGTTTTAAACCACCATACCTATCAATTCAACTATGAGTAGGAACAATGAACCTGCTAACTATTTTAAGTAGGTTATTTATTATATCATACATTTTTGCTCATGTGATTATAGTTTTAGAAAGTATCTTTCTTGGACTTGCCTTAGAACCACCATAAGGATGACTATACATTAATGTCGGTATGAAGTTTTCTTCAAGGCTTCTTATTTTTGATTGCTAGTAGGAAAGGATTTCATGACTTGGGATTGGTTAAGATAAAGTACAATCCAATTTATATATTCAAATATATGGTGGATTTTTGGCTATACTGATAATTATTATATTACCATCCTGACGATCGCTGTACCACTACACCTTATCTGAAAGATCACAATCTCAATATTCACTAGATTAGCATATAAAATGGCTTCATATAAGAAACAATGCTTAACAGATTATAGCGTCAGATATTATATAAATACTATTTAATTACCTTTACCTGGGATTGAACCGGTATCTTATAATCTGACCTGTGGAGTATTAACCACTATACTATAGATTTACAGGTTAGGATTTATATGAATGTTAATTTAGATTTATATAAATAGGTATAGATAACTTGGTTCTTTTGAAAAATATCAAAAAATTAATAACAATGAATACAAAACATATAAAAACTCTAATCATCAAAGAAACCTTTACTAAATAAACAACTGATTATATCAAAAATATAGTAGAAAATATACAACATAAGTATATAAAGCAATTGCAGAACAAATAAAAAACATATAAGGAAATTTTAAAAAATAAAGTTATAAAATAAAAAAAGATATCTAACATTATTAAAAAAAATAAATAAAAAAAACAAAATAGAAAAATAGAAAAATTACAATTATAAGACAATATATAAATAAAAAAAGACAATATACTGTATATATATACAGTATGAGTCATATATTTTTGGAATTTTTTTAACTTTGTATTTTATCTTAATATTAAATAAAAAAATC